AAAATTGTCTCCAAGTATCGGCTGTTTGCTTGTTTGTCTGGTTGCCTGTTTGTTTTGTTTTGTTTTGTGTTTTTTTCCAGTCTTACGACAAACTTTGTTGCTCTTCTCAATGGCCCGCTAGGCTAGTCACGCAACGGGCTCATCCTTACGTGACAAGCAAAAAGAATTAACAAATCAAAACAGACCTCTCACGGGGTCACGCTCAACCAGAATGCATGGTAGTATTAGTGGTCTTTCTCAGAATTTTCTCTATTAAAGAAAAGGAAAACCCAGCTACCGCGTTTGTTATATTATTCGACTAAATCTATGCTATCTTGATCGAGAACTAGCTCAACCCTCTTTTGGTTTCTTCAATTGCCTATCGGTCTAATGACTACATATTTTTGTCGTTTCATTCCGCGTTCGCGATAATGAGCCCTCGAGAAAGGTCTTCCTGCGCGATGAAAAGCCGCCGTATCATCTGACGGACTAGATTAATGTAAAAGCACGGAATGAGCGAAAGACAGCTTTGAGATCTGGCAAGAAAACGAGCAGCGAGTCTGCAGAAGCCTTACTCTACACAGCTTTTCGGAGAAAGTTTAAAAGAGAATTCTCCCCTTAATTGGCTCTTGTGTGACCGTCGAACAAGAAAACCTTTATAATCGATCTCAAGCCTAATCCCATGTAAGTTTTCGGGCGACCTTTCACTCCCGTTGAGACAAATTCTGGGATATATTTCTCCAAAATTTCATCTTAATATCCTCGATTCGTTATGCATATGTTTATTGAACGTGAAGCGTGACTAATTTATTCTTAGAGCACCTCTTCCTTTACGAATGTTTTCTTTGCGCCCGATGAATGGCACGAACAAAAATTCAAGTATTTGAATTTCTTCGTCTATTTGCAATGCGTTTGGTGAAGAATCGAGTCCCTGTTAAACATCTCGTTTTTGTACACCTTTGTGTCCAAGAACCCAATTTCTGAGTTTGATATTCCAGCCGACGGTACAGAATCAAGAGAATTAGTTACCTCTTGACAACATGTGGCTGCTTGCCTCGTCTTAATTTTGGCCCTTTTTAATTCTTTTCTTAAAGATTGACTTTTCTGAAGAAAATTGTCGCGGAAAATCCTTCAAAGAGCATTTCTAAACCTCTAGATTTCAAAGTTTTTTAGGGGGTATGCCCCCAGACACCTCTAGCGGCTCGCGCTTTCGACGCTCGAAACTTGCCTCGTCTTGTCCTGAAATCTGGCTACAGCCCTGCTTGCGAGTTACAAATTATTCTATTCTGTCTTTGGTTCTGTTCAACAGACAGGACACGTCGTCAAAATTCCTCTTCCTACATTGCGATTTAGTTGTACAATTTTTTTATTATTGATTTTTTTTTAATCGCGCGGTGAAATTCACCGAAAAAAAATTTTGAACGTTAGCCGTAAAAGCTATCACCCCTTTGACATTTTCATAACAAGAAGTTACATATCTAAATTAAAGGTGAATGACATATCTAAATTAAAGGTGAATGAATGTATCTGGGTTGAAAATTTTAGTTTGGGTGGCTCTGAAACATTTCATCGAATTTTTGTTTTCATCGTGAGTAAGTTTTTTTTTTTTGCCTTCGCTTTGTACGAGGTATAACTAGATCTAATTTGTAACGTTTTGTATTAAAGCTGTTATATATTTAAGGAGTGTTTAGATAAGGCTCCCACACAAGTTGGTATCTTGATACGCGGTTGACATGCTACAGACAAATAATTTATGCGGCCGTTAAATTTGTGGTGATTTGGGACAATCCAAAGAAATATGATGATCGGGTAACAGGACACGTCAGTGCTACCTGCAAAGGGGGAAAACACTAAGGAATGATTTCATGAGAATAAAAACGGCAGAAGAGTCTAAACTAAGATGTCAAGTAAATAAGAGCTTCAAAACTGCATGAGAGGTGAGCAGGACAAAACTGATCACTCAAGATCGCTATACTGCCATATTTGCCGGCATCTTCCCGAAGGAAGCTTTCTTTAAAACCATGTTGACTCCCAGGCAGCCCAAACTCACTGCTAGAAAAGCGGACGTGACTCTTACCGTGTTGCGCAACGTTTTATTTCTATAAAGGTTTGTATAGTATGTTATCTGTTTGCCTTAAAAGTGAGAAAAAAATGTCTTGTTTTCATATAAAATGGACTTACCTTATTGCCTTGTTGTTTTCTTTGTTGATTCCTAGCGTCTCAGGCCAATTTGAAGCGTTTTCGGCGAGTTAGCGCTATGTTGGTGTTCAACTGTGAACACCAACATAGCGCTAACTCGCAACGATTTTTGGAATATTTTTTGGACGATTTTTTGGACGATTTTTTGGACGATTTTTTGGACGATTTTTTGGACGATTTTTTGGACGATTTTTTGGACGATTTTTTGGACGATTTTTTGGACGATTTT